CTTAGCATAACCGTTTCAAGTCACTTGAGCAACCTCTTCCATCCCATTATGGATGAAATACTGTGATTAAGACACATGGAGTTTAGTGTTTATCGAAAATTATAATTGAATTTTGTTTGTTAATCCTAAGATCATATTTGGTTCACCTCAAATAGCTTCCCTACATGCTTACTCCATTATGGTCGTGTTATTTATCGTCTTAACTGTGTAAGAATGCACATGTAAGTGTTTTCTATCTTAATATATGTGAAGATTACTAATCATTAAACTTTGTTTTGAGTAAGTCCAGTTAGTTATAAGATTTATAGTTGCCTACAACACTAAATAGACATTCTAAAAGACTTAAGATTGTAAGTCAATTTTTTGAGCTTATGAGGACCAATGACGTGTGATGTCCCCAGAAGCATGAGACTCGAGGGAGTGAAATGCATGAGCCGGGGTGCTTTGAGACTTTGTGATATTGTAAGAGAATTTTTAACAACTATTATAGACGATAGAGGAATCATTGGTTGTATAAATGTTAGCTTAAAACATTGTATTTCACTTTTGGATCTTTGCATTTTTTTCTCCTTTTTTAGTGTAAACAATTGTCAATCCTTTTATATAAAATTTCTTTTAAAAGTTTTCCAAGATGCCTTTTGGCATTCTTTACATGCAATTAATGACTTATGTCATGTCTTACTTATGACAACTCTATATCTTGTGTCGATGTCAATCGTCATGTCTTTTCATTGGCTAGGTTTAATACTTTGGTCAAATTGAGTATTTTATTTCCTTGATTTTTTATATACTTTAAAAGGACGCCGTCTCTAAAAGGACGTCTCTAGACCTTTTAGTACTATACTAGTGCCACTTCCCTTTAGATTTGAGGCACTGTCCACATATAATGTCCATGTGTAAGGAGTCTCATCGCCCAATTATGACATGAATTCCACCAAAAAATCTGTCAGCACTTGAGATTCTATACTTCTTTTGAGCACGAAATGGACATCATACTCAAATATCTCAACCGAACAGGATATCATCCTACCCTTCAGATCTAGTTTCATTAGGATTTTGCTAATGTGGTAGTTGGGTTTGATCACCACATGATGCCCTTGGAAATATGGTCTAAGTTTCCTTACAGCAGTTACGATGACTAACTCTAACTTTTCAATTTTCGTATATCTCTTCTCAGTGCCTTTGAATACTTTGCTCACGATACAGAAAGGTTGTCCCCTTTGTTTTTGTTCTGGATGGGTACATATCTTATTACCTTGTCAATGTCTGATAAATACAAATATAAGGGCATTCCCACCTCATAGGGCGTTATAATGGGCAGTGTCACTAGGAAGTCTTTCAATGTCGCAAAAGCATCATCACATTTGTTTATCCATTTGAGTTTTTCCTCCTTCTTTAGAGTGGTAAAGAAATGGAATGCTTTGTCACCTGCACAGGAAAGAAAATGTGATAGGTAGTCATGTGCCTGGTTAGATTTTGAACCTCCTTGACATTAGAGGGTTTTCTCATGTCAATAATTTCATGACATTTTTTTGGATTTGCTTGAATCTCTCTTCTCGTTAGCATGAATCCTAAGAACTTGGCCTCTTGAACCCCGAAAGAGCACTTGGTAGGGTTGAGACACATGTTGTATCTTCAGAATGACTTTAAGATGTCTTTCTGGTCTTTAGAATGGCTTCCCTCTTCAAGGGTTTTTCACAATCATATCGTCGATGCAGACTTCCAGATTGAGGACTATTTAACAAGAAAACAACACATCTATTAGCCTTTGATTTCTAGCACATTTGTTTTTAAATCTGAACAGAATGACATTGTAGTACTAACTGTCATGGTTGGACATGAACGCCATCTTCGGTGCATCCAAAGGTACCATTTTTATTTGGTTTATAACCTGAGTAAGTGTCCATGAAGCTTAAAATCTTATAACTAGATGACTCGTCGATCAGTAGGTCGATGTTAGGCAATGGATACAGATCTTTAAGGCATTATACGTAAAGATTAGTTAAATTGATGCACATCTGCCATTTATTTATGGCTTTCTGAGCCAAGACCACGTTAGCCAACCAAGTTGGATACTTTATCTCAGTTATTAAACCTATGTTTTCAACTTCTCAACTTCGTCATCGACGTCACCCTCTTATCCTCTCCAACTTTTGGCTTTTTTGTGTCATAGACTTCATAGTGATATCTATAGCGAGACAGTGGCAGACCACCTTATCGTTTATACCAAGTATGTCCGAAGAGGCCTACACAGACAAATCAATGTTCCTTCTGAGCAGGGTCGATACAAAGAAATAGGGTAATAGCGGCATGACTTACGTAAATAATGGTGCGTTGGTACAATTCAAATTTTTTACTTTTGTGTAGTACTTTGATCATATCTAAAGCTTCGTAGCTCCAGTTTAGGCAAAACCAACAACAAACGAAGTTACTTTGACTACAACTTTCATGAAAATGTCAAAGTATAATTCGGAGTGTAAAATGACAGAAAATAGATATTAAAAATATGACATTGTTACAATGCTTGGTGGATAAAATTAGGTTATTCTCAAAACTCTAAAAGCCCATTACAATGCCTATTTAATGAGGATCAAGGGGAAGCGAAAGCTACCATTCCAAATTTGTTTACGAACCAAGGAGAAGGGGAAACAAAGGCCACCATTAAAAGATCCAGCCCTAATCATTAGCAAGCTTTATAATTAGTTTTCTATTATAATTCTCATGATTGTCTCTGTAATGAATTTACGTTTTATAATTATATAGTTTTATATAAGTTTAATGCTTTCTCCCATCTATGTATTCAGGAGAATTGATTTAGATGGAAACTAAGACTTAGCAATAAATTTCACATATTTCTTAGTGGTTGCATAACTAATTTGAGAATCATTCAAAAAAATTTATTGCATAATGTATAATATGAACAATTTTATTCTTCTTTTGTTGGAAAACTACAGCTATTGCATAATGGTATGAACTGACCTTTTTTTTTTGCCAAACATAAAATAACAAAAGATACGAAAAAAGATAAATTTAATTTGAAAAAAAAAGAAGAACTATCAAAATAGAGAGCAATTTAGAAAAAAACCTAAACCTAGAAGAAGAAATGACAATTTGAATATAAGTGCATTTGCAGAAGACACATGAAAAAAATGGTAGAAATGAGAAGTAGAAAAGAAGTAAAAATTTGAAATATAAAACAAAAAGAGTGGTGTTTGATAACGCGTATACAACAAACATTATAATCTCATGACTTAATGTATAATCAATAGATTAAATAATTTTGATGCAACATGAAAAAGTAATTGTCACATCATTACATCATGCATACGAAGTGACAAAGACCAACGACATAGCAAAAATTAGGAGAACATGCAAACAATGATTGATCAATTCATGAAAATTCTTCAGCCTCCACTTTATTTTTTAGATTCAAGTCTAGGGTCATAGGTAAATTATTAATATGCCATACACATTGCAATTTTTTTTACCAGTTTTTCCCAAAATTTCAGGCTTTAGATTCATTACATATTAAAATAGTTAAGAGTTTATGAAACATGTGTAATGATATAGGTACAATGGACCAATTTAAATAAGGTTTCAATCAATTATTAAAAAAACCTACATTGAAACGAGCATACATGTCTAATTACTTAACTCAACTTAAAGGATATCCGATATGACACCTCAGTACAATGAATGACTTGATACGAGAACAAATCTTAACATTATACCGAAAAGTAAACACGTCACTAGATAACAACTATCATAAAGTTTATTCAAATCAAATACGCGTCACTGCATCTCACCATTATATTAAAGTGTCACGTCACACTTATTTTATTTTGATATGATATCAATGATATACTATGTAATTGTAGGAACAAATTAAAGCAATCATCAAATGTTTATAATAAGTGGGTTCACCACCAAAGTATGATGATCATTCAATCTCCTACTTATTTATTATTTACTCACATCCTACACGACTTTAACATCAAAGTGTTTGTGTAGATATATTCCCCTCATTTGACTTTAAATTGTTTTTTTATCTGCACATTCTCCTTATTTGACATCAAAGTGATTTTTATTTATTTATAGACAAAATGATCATAATCACAAAAAACTCACACACAAGTCCGAGTTCAAATCATGATGTTGAAATTCAATGTATCAATATTAGTCTTTGGTTTAGTTAAAATTTGGGAAAAACTTATAGACACATTAATATCATTAAAAAAAAAAAAACATTAGAAAAATCAATTATCTTATTATATTAAACCTTATAAGGTGATTCTCCAACTTACTCCTCCGATATCTGCTCACATCTCACATAACTTTGACATCAAAGTGTTTGTGTAAATATCTTTCTCTCATTTGACATTAAAGTGTCTTTTTATCCTTTCATTCTCCTCATTTAACATCAAAACATTTTTTATAATTTATAAACAAAGTGGTCATAATTACTAAAAACTTAAACAATTCTGAAAGTTTGAGTTCAAATTTTGATGTTGACATTAACCTAATAATATTAGCTTTATATTGAGTAGAATTTGGGGATAATTTTTATTGTTTTTTATAAACTTAATAGAGCCACTATTAATAGTGTAGAAAAACAATAGAGAAGTCAATTGTCTTATTATCTTAAACCTTAACCAAAAAAGAACGTTGTAAATGTAATTGTAATAAAATCTTAGTCACATTTTAGAATCAAACAAAAAGTGTTATATATGCGTTTGCTGGTAAATCTTGATGACGGCGAAAGAACACAACTCAAATCCCAATCCAAATCCAAACTCACTGTGATTTCAATTCTAATTTAGCTCTCCTTGAATTCACTCTCTCTCGTAAGTTCATCTTCCTTTTCTAGGTCTTCTTTCTCAGATCCACCTCACTTTTCGATTCCAAATCCCTTATTCATGTTGAAAATTTTGCAGATTTCTGCATTGAAAGTGAAGATGATGAGGCTGTGATTCATAATTGGACAGAAACTTTCCACCATAATGCGGTGGTTTCAACTGAGTACTAGCTCGGAAAGGGACCGGAACAGTGGGAATAAATCTCGTGCTATGGTGTATCTCAATGTATATGATCTTACTCCTGTCAATAATTATCTTTACCTATTTGGCCTCGGAATCTTTCACTCCGGCATTGAAGGTTTGTTTCTGGTTATTTTGAACTCGTTTCTGTTGTATTTTCTTGTCTCTGGTTATGATATGATATTGAGAACATTAACTAGGTTCAAGGTTAAATGTGTGTGTTTGGTTCTGGTGACAATGTTTTTTTTTTTGTTGATAAAATTGATTCTATAAAATCGAGTCTGGTTTAAAGTAATTTGAGTTTAAATAAAGTCTTTTGGAGTAACTTGAATTGATTTGGTGTACAATTGATTTTGACATGTTTGGTTTCTCTCAACTAGAATTGATTTTGACTTCAGAATTGATTCTATCTTGAAGCTAGGATTTGTAGTTTTTAAGTCTAAACTTGATTTTTACATTGTTTGACTAACTTTTATATAAATTATCTGTTAAGAGTCTCACATCTGACAATATATGGTTTGAACATACGTTTGTAAATGGGGACAATCCTCAACTTACAAACCGATTTTGTAAGGTTGAGTTAGGTCAGCCCACAATTCTAAGAGTATGTAAACATAAATCGATTTATGATTGTGGAAAACATCTCAATAGTTAACAAAGTTAGTTTAGTAAATGTGTCATGTCTTTTGTCTATTTATGGGATTATTAATGTTCATAATGTCCTTCAATGCCATATTCATTATTCACGGGGTTACTAATAGAATAATAGATATTTGGACAATGAAATATATGCATTTTAATGAGTTTGGATGTATGTTCTATTTTCAGTCATGTTTGCCTGCTATAGTATAGTGATTGAAGGAACTATGTTGTTCAGTGGTGTTGTTCTCAGAATCGACGGAAATCGGCGACGCTCACAGAAACTATGGCGGCGGCTCGGTGTTCACAGAACCTGTTTGAGGTATTCAAGTCTGATTGAAATATGGGTTTAAGTAAATAACAGTTTTGATCCGGATCCAAACCGGTCTGAATCCATTTCACAAATATGAATTGGTTTTTTAAAACACTGGTTTGGTTTCTATACCTTAACCAAAAATATGGTTTGGTTTCTATGGATCGGTTACCATGCATAGCCCTATTCAATATTGTCGGTTCTGAGAACACCACTGCTAAATGACATTTTCTTTGAGTGCCGTCATTGATTGTCGCCGGTTTTGTGACGCTAAACCACTCGGATCTCTTGGAATATTCATTCGATTCATACAAACTATTTAAGTAGAGTAATTACAGAGGCACCGAAACAACGTTTCGTGCAACCGATTCACAAAAATGATTGAGAAACACTTATTGAAATTGATTCACAAAAAATGATTGAAAAGCGCAAGATCAATTACAGAGATTTGAAGATAATTGTTGCAATTAGTACAAAACGATTGAGAAAGGCTCGATGGTTGTATCAGAGAGAAACTGGTTTCTAAGCCCGTTCACCAAAATAATGATAAAGGAAACACTTGCTTGTTGGTTCAATGAAGGAGATAGAAACCGGTTTGTAAACCAGCTTACAAAATTGGTACCCGGTTTATTGCTTTTGGGCTTAATTGGATCCAATTTTTTATTTTATATATGGTCTGGGCTTTTAAAAATGGTACAGCTCAGTTCTGGATCAATTAGGGAAAACCAATCTTTTGGACACCCCTACTTGTTACAAGTTTTATTTTGAATATAATGAATAAATACACTGGACAGAACTATTTCCTTTGAACAAGTTCTTGACAAGGAGCTGGCATGTACTTTTATGCTATTTTACTTATAACATCTTGCAGTAACTTATTGCGTAGTCATTACTTTTTAATCGACAGTGCATGGTAAGGAATACGGCTTTGGAGCACACGAATACCCTTCAAGTGGTGTGTTTGAGGTGGAACCTAAAAATTGCCCTGGCTTCATCTTCAGACGATCGCTATTGTTGGGAAGCACTGATATGTCTCTTGCAGAATTCCGTTCTTTTATGGAACGTCTCTCTGCAAAATATCATGGAGACACTTACCATCTGATTGCCAAAAATTGCAACCATTTTACAGATGAAGTTTGCCAACAACTAACTGGAAATCCTATTCCTGGATGGGTTAATCGACTTGCTCGTGTAGGTGAGAATCACTCTGCTCGCTAATTCTTGTTGCATAAGTCATAATTTGATATTTTTAATGATTGTGTCATTTAGTATGTCTTTTCTCTAGTTTTTGGTTTCATAAGATGTGGTCCTGCTTGCATCAAATATATTTTCTGCTTACTATTGAAATAGAATACACGAGTTTGATGTGACCAGTAATGAAAACATGCTTACAGTTGAGCTTCATTCTGTGAATCCGGTAATTGCACATACTAGTTTTGTTATCTTCTGATAATGTGTGGTGACTTTTTAGGTTCTTTTTGCAATTGTCTACTACCAGAAAATATCCAGGTTTCTGCAGTTGGACATGTCCCTGAACGTCTTTCATTTCCTGGTAAGATATAGACACTAAATCTGCCAATTTGTTCACAATATTGCATGTTTTGTTTTGAATTATTTTCATTGGCTATCCAAGAAAAACAATGTCTAAAGGCTTCATAGAATATGGTCAACCTGTTATGTTTTTTATAAACAAAATACCATACATACTGACGTAAATAGTTAAAAATATAAAGTTGATTCGATGTAAACAGTTTTATCTCTAATTGGTAAAGAATTTTAAATTTCCAAGCATAGTAATTTGCTATGTTCTTGGAATTATCATTTTGATAATTGAGAAGCTGTCATTCATTGAAAGAAGATGATGGATATTTTCATTACGGTTTTGAAAATGTGAGAAGTAATTAGGCGTGGCAAAAAATCCGAACACGGTCGGATCCGCTCGCCCCCGCTCCGAATCTAACAGGGGAAAATCGATTTAATTGGGGGCTGGTGCGGGTGCGCAGAAAACTCGGTTTTTAATTAATCACCCCGCACACACCCCAGCCTATTAAATTTAACTTATTGCCCTTATTTTAAAGGGATTAATTACTATGCACTGACATTTTACATTGTCAATTCATCACCATCATCCGTTTGCATTACTTTACAAGTTATTTAAATAAAAGTCAAACTATTTTTTACATCCAACGTCTATAATTAACACTGTCGGTGCATTTCAATTAAATCTATTTTAAATAACTTTATTATTCACTTACCCTTTTTAATCTTAAAGTATCAAGTTTGTTATATTTATTATTCAGTTTTTTAAAAATGCAAATTAAATGAAAATGACTAAATATTATGATTATTTTTAAAACGACAAAGTATTATCATTATTTTTAAAATGGCAAAGTATTTAGTTTAATTATTGATTTTTGTTGCTATAGAAAAAAACCATGCATTTTAAAAAAATATTACAGTTTATGCGGGTGAGGGCGGAGCGGGAAAACCCGTTTCCCGTTGCGGGCAGTGGTGGGTGGTTAATTGATAACCTCGACTGGGTTTGGGGGCAGAGACAGGGGCGGGGCTGGCAATGCTTAAACCCGCCCCCGCCTAGAAGTAATGAATGTTCATTTACTCATTATTGTACAAAGCCACACTCCACCATATAAAGAGGTCTGGTGAATAGTGGAAGCATCCCAAATATAATTAAGCAAGTGTAGGTAATCACCTATTGTGAAAGTGTGTCATGTGAGTGGATATTTATCATTCTTTATAATATGCTATACTCAAACTTGTAGGGTGATACATACACAACATGATGAGTTTTCAAGATTCTATAGAACTTATTTGATATATTGCACATCTGTTAGAGCTTTTCAGTGGATGTAGGCAAAAGAAGTAGAATCACATATATAAATTTTTGTGTGCGCTATCACTTTCATTCCGGTGGGCACATACCAATTTCAAAGATTGTTGGTTAATTGTCTAACAATCTGTTTTGAATTGCACTGTCTCAAAGATCTCCTGCATAATTCTTGGAAGTGTTCTGTAAAATGTAAATTGGTTTGATGTAGTATGTGTTGGATCTTAGAATAATTTAAACATGCCTCTATTTCTGTTAGTTTAGATATCAACAAAACAATGAGAGAAAGGACCTAAGTTTATATCTTTTGCAGATGATGATAAATCAGATTCTGACGACCTTTCTCTGTCCATTGAGAGTGAAGACGAGGAGGAGCCAAATCACCGCCTGCTAAATACACCAAGTGGCGATGTTGCATTTTTAAAGGAAAAACCTGTTAGGCTGGCGCGAGATCACCTATGAGTTTTACTGGCTTATATTCTGTTTCGCGTTCTTTCATTGTTCTCTTTGCTTCTACCATATCTGTGATCTTAAATTTGAGTGTAACAAGTTTCACAATTAGATTATTATTCAAGACTCAAAATGCATGCTCTGTAGTTCATATAACAAAGAGGACAATCTGTTGTATAATATGTATATGTATATGCCCTCCTGTACGTGTAAAAGTACAAACAACATTGTGCAGATATAATACTTTTATCAATCTATTAACTATTGCTGCCAAGTGCCAACAATGTTGAAGTCACATAAAGTGACAAATTCATGTAAATCTTCCATTTGCTCATTGGTCTTTAGCATCAAGTTGAAGTCTCACGCAAAGGTTGATGCTCTAGTTTGCTTTTGTTCTGGCAACTTTAGTAAAGATAAACTCTTGATAGAAGATATGGAACATCCTTGTCCATAATTTTCTTTCCATTCTCATTTCTTTTAAGCTTTATATAATTTTCAATTTATTATTATTACTATTACTATTTGTTCTGCTATGGAATTAAATTTGATCAGAGAGAATGAATTCTCGGTCTATTGCAGTGTTCTATTGTTTTCGATGCAGTGGAGAAGAGACTGATATGTAAGGTTACTATTCTAACGCTAAAGTCAGTAAGAAAAATGATAAGTGAGTATCTGACAATGACACATTATCTTCTTTAATAGGATAATTGGTTAGTAACTAAATGCATGTGATGAGGTGTGCTATGTGATCAGCATCGATCAATCTAGATGAATGAGATAACATTTGTGAATTGCTTGTCTCTTTGGAGGAGAAAGGGGGGTCCAACTACTCTTCGTTGGGCTCATGGTTGGCTCGGAACACTAGTCTTTCACAATATGACAAAATTTTGTTCAAATATCAACTCTGAGAATGTGAAGAAGTTGCCAAGGAGGACTAGATGAAGTCAAGCATATTATATAAGCCAATATTATATAAGGCAGAAATGTTTAATTAGGACAGTGAAAGGAAGAAGACATGGTAACAAGTTTTTATTTTTTGCTGTTCCTTTAAAGAATTGTTTATCTTGCCACCAAACCACCCAAAGTCTTCTTGACCCTATAGCTTAGTGAACACTGCAAGAAACTAAAAAGTCTTTCTTTATGCTAAGTACTTATATCTGAAATTTCTTCCACTTGTTATTCATTCTTAGTATAACATCATGAATTCACTCTTCTTTCTCACCATCTTCTTGGTTTTCATCTTCCAAAACTCTGTTACCTGCAATGATACTGCTGGTGCTAACATTCACTATCCATTCACCACTCTTTCTGGTTTTGAGATTTTTCACAAAGACAACATCACCACCATCCATTTTCCATCCTACGGCAATCTAACAGTCAAGTCCGTCTCCTATGACAGCAGAAAGATTGATCTTCTTGATCCAAAAAACTGTGTCCCTAGAGTCTTTCTCAACCTCAACCTCACCCTCACTCCGTTTCAATACTACTACGTTCTTCAAAACTATACGTACCTCAATTGCTCCACCACACTTCTACATACAAATTTCATCGAGGTTCCATGTTTAAGCCATTCAAATTCTCATGTTTACACAGTTGACCCTCAAGTTTCTATTCCTAGTTCCTGTAAAAGAGTCAAAACCGTTGCTATTCCTTTCAAATATAGCCCTTATATTTCAGATAACAGTCTTGGTCTTAGATTAACATGGAAGTTGCGTGAATCTGAAGAAATCAAACAAGGAAACAAGACTAGAGATTCTTACACAGCTCGCAATACTGGTAAATTCAACTCTTTCTTTCTTTAATAACTACCTTTAAGAAAATTGTAAGAACTGGTGTTGTTATTAACAATATTTCAACATGTGTGCAGTTTTTGGCCTTAGCATCTGTTTTGTTGTGATGGCAATAGTTATAGGCATCATCAAGGTTCATCTGTCCATAAGGAGTTTACATAAGAAAGAAGAACAGTTGTTGGCAGATTTCTAGAACATAGTTTTCAGATGCAAGTTTCACCATTATCAAATTTGGTGTTTTTTCAATTTTTGTACAATATGTTGTAGGATATGATGTGTAGGACCCTATGCAACCGCTTTGAGCGGTGTTAAAGAATCAAAGAATGCAAAGAGGAGTTGAATGTATTTTTTTTCTCTTCTTGTCTACTCTAACAACCTCTTACTTTTAATAGCTTACATTTATTATTCACATAGTCACAACAAACTTGCATATCTTTGCATTAACATGTCTCTTAACACATGTTGTATTTCAATTCTTACCTTTGACTTTGTAGAAGAAATTTAATGTCCTAATTTCATATTTGACACAACATAGGTTGGAATTTTCAAGAAAATTAAATAATAGTGATTATTTATGTATTGAAAAAGATGTAACATAAAATTATGAAGGAAAAAAAGGGAAATTTACATTAAGATATAACAATGGTAAAACTGAGGCTACAAAGATAGTTCATGACTCTAAAGAGTTTATTATAATCAAATGTTAAAAGAGATTGATAGATTTTATGATGAATTTTCTTGTGAGAAAAAAAATGATAAATGTTAGGTTTTTTTAGGGTAGAATTTAGTGTGTTTGGAACTTCAAAGGCTTCACACAACTAATGATGGATATGTGGGTTAGAATTTATTGAAAGTCTTAGTGGTGATATGAAAATCCAATATGGTCTTCATTTATTTGTAAATATATTTTCAAATGCACCCAAATACATCAATTTATGTGTGACTGAGTCATACTTTTATTTTGTTAAAATAAATTTGAAAATACATCTCCGCAACAATCTCATATGCACTCCACCATTTGTAACTGTATCACACCATCATTTTGCCATGAGTTAATCCATATACACCCTTTCACTTGTAATTGCATCACACTATCATTTTCTCATAATTTAATCTAGAGATGTATCTCCATAAAAGTTATGGAGTATACTTTCATAGTCATCTTTAGACAATAAAGTTTGACATTTTTTAAGAAACAAACTAATGTAATATGTCATGTATAATAAGTATACTTTCATAAAAAATTTGTTATAAATTAAATCATATTATGATGTAATAAGATTAAAATATCATATAATGCATAATACAATTAAAATGACAAATTACAAATACTATCAAATATTACTGTTTATGTCAACCCCTTCTTCCTTCACTGTCTTATGTACTATAATTTCGTCTATGCCTAAAATAGAATGACGTCTACGGTGGCTCTTCCAAAAATGCCTTCCAAAAATTTCTTCTTTATAACAGCTCACACAATGACGTCTATACGACGACATGCATGTAAAACATCAATTATATGATTTGCCATAGTATGCTCTTCCTCTTATATCGCCTAATGAGTTGATCTAGGTGGATCTTTCCGAGAGTATGATGTCATATAAGGATGTGACATTCTAAAATATCAATGGATGTAGTCAAATACTATACTCCATTCGTGAGGAGTTAACACACTTCGTGCTTCATCTAGTATCAGATGATTATAAAAATCATCATACATCACATCTACATCTCTGCGCAGCATGGCGGGAGGAGCAAACATGAAAGGTTCTCTTGGAATAATTTGCATAAACTTAAAATGGCGCATAACTTGCTCAAATAGATGTGGACAGATTATACGTGTCCCACAAGTCAACTATTAAGAATTGAAAGCTATGTCATCCAAGAGACGCGTCTGACGGTAATCGTCATACAATTAAAAGTATATATATCTGCTACAGTGCGGTCAAGAAACACTCTGAAGAACTCAGTCGATTAATTCTTTCTGAACAAGACAAATGCACAAGCACGTGACTGACCTATACAACTGCTTCGGGTGGTGTTAGAGAATCAAATAATGCAAAGAAGAGTTTAATGTACTTTTTTTTTTTTCTTTTCGGGTTTACTCTAACAACCTCTTATATTTAATAATTTATATTTATTATTTACATAGTCAAAACAAACTTATATATCTTCCTATTAAGAAATGATTCCTTGTAGTGTATTTCAATTCTTAACTAAGAAAAAAACATCAATTGCATGAGATGACTTTGTAGAAGAAATTTAATATCCTAATTTCATATTTGACACAACATAGGTTGGAAATTTCATGAAAATTAAATGTATTAAGAATATTATAATTGAAAAAGATGAAACTTAAAATTATGAAAAAAGTGAATTTTACCTTAAGAAGTAACTAACAGTGGTAAAATTTCCTTGAGTTTAAAGGGTGGATCATTTCCTAACCTTTTCTCTCATGGTCTCTCTCATGTGTAATTCTGAATTATAGAATTAATGCAATAGTTAAAATTTTAAAAAGAGGAAATAACATTTAAAAAAGAGAGAGAAATATATGTTTGTTTTATTTCAAAAACTTGTATAAATTTAAAAATTGTTATTTTTCAATGGAATTAAAAACTTGAATTGAGAATGTTATACAAAAAACTAATAAAATTGACAAACACATTAGTATAATAAATAGTAATTTTTTTTACAAGATAGAAATTATTCCGTTTTAGAATTAGAAATGAAATGATCAAAAGGACAATGGTTTTGAACTTCTAGTACGGTAGAGAGGGGGATATTGAAGGTTATCACTTCACGCTCAAGTTAGTATGTTAGGAAGAAGAGTGAATTCAAATTGTGTTTGAAATTTTTTACATAAATTTAGCGTTTTTTCTATATAAAATAGAGGGAGAATAACTAAATCGCTATTAGTTAGGAGTGAATTATGGATTATTGTTGGATACACTTGAAGTTGAGATCTTTGTGATCATTAGGATGAGAGTCCTCGAGTGTTTAGAGGATTCTGAAAAGAACACAATGTGTGCGAAGTGGTTGTCCAGGGTTGTTACGGTTGACTCAAAACAATTCCCCCTAAGCCCTTGACGATGTGTAACAAGGCGAGGGTTTTCTACTTCTAGCCTCAGATGCCAACCATATTCTTTATCTATTTTAATCCTGTAGCAGCAATCATTTCAGTTTCCTAGATATTCGTGCATTTAATGCGCCATTCTTTAAACG